CCTGAGGCAGGTGAGCAAGGCAGAACTGGCACCTTGGGTATTGGAAATCCAGATCCCAATGGCCCCACCATGAACTGCTTCATCTTACACATCCCCTTACACATTTCTCAGTTTGTTCTACCCTCTCCCTGCTGCATATCTATTGGGCATATCCTGTCACCCCCTTTCCACGCCCACAGTCCCACATATGGCCATTTCCCTGAAAATTACACTAGAAAATAAGACACCTCTTCCACAGATACCCACACACACATCATGATTACACTCATACAGTAGCTGAGGGATAACCTCAGCCCATCATATATGCCCATTATACAGGAACAGTTAGAGACACACTCTTATCTGTTACAGAAAACACACATTCACTTGTATTCTTACACAGACAAATCCAGTTGTAAAAATGACCCAGACTCCCTTCCTCTCCCCCAGCCCCCTTACAGACATGTTTTGCTTGCAGTTGAATCCCAACAGCCTAACACTAGTACATAATAGACACCCAATACATATTTGTTGGGTAAATTTAAAAAATTATTCCTCAGAGACAAGCCCAGTATATCTGCATGACCATCCTCACTGTCACGCACACTTTCACATCTGGCTTTCCCCTCATGGACACACAGTCCCACAAACACAAAGTAATTAAGTTATCACACACACACACACCCCTAAGCTAAAGGACAACCCCTGGCCCAGGGGTCTCTCCCAGAGGGAGGGAGGGAGCCCTGTGGGATCCAAAGGGGCTGCCCTCGGTGGCTGAGCCCTCCTGTTTCTCCTCCCCCAACCCCAGCCTCAGCCCCAGCTGCTCCTCTTTTAATTGGAGGCACTTCTTTATTCTGCAGGCTAGGAGAGTGGATGGTGCTTGTGGGGGGGGGGGATTACCAGGTGGCCTCAGGGCTGGAACTCACCTAGATGTGTGTGCAAGATACTCCTGCAAAGCAAGGGCCACATCTACCAAGTTTGATGTCGAGAAATCAGCTTCTAATGATCGGAGGCAGAAAAACAGCATTTGAGTCTAGTTCCTGTCTCTTCCTGGCTTTCGGTACCTCAGTGTTCTCATCTGTGAAATGGAGATAACATCACAGGGTTACTGGTGGACAACATGAGACAATCACCGTGACTGAGGGTGCCTAGGATGTCACTGTGCTTTGTCCTCCGGCTTTCTTTTCCTCCCCTACTCCTTCCTAACAGGGCTACTCTGCACAGCATGCAGAAACACTGTGGAAATGCAAAAGCTGCACCACGGGAGGTAAGCTCCGTGCGAGTTTCCTCCCCGGTTCGGAAAAACTTTCCAACCTGCAGCAGTGTGCTCAGGGAACACTGCTTCCGGGAGGGGCGGGGGCCAGAACCCAGTGACTCCTGACCCTCTTTTCTCAACTTCCTAGGAAGAGAAGGGACTGAAAAAAGGGTACCCCGGGCCCTCAGCAACTACCTCATTGGAAAACAAAGGCTGAGGTCAAGTTGGACACAAAAAACCTCATCTTGGGGGAGGCCAGCACCTCAGAACGGGATTGGGAGAAAAGTTGACTCTGATAAGTAGGAGAGATGGGGGGTGGAGGGGAGTATGGAAGAGAATGGTGAGGCGAACAGATGTAAGGGGAAAGTCAGGATGTCCCTGGGTTGCAGGATTTTGATGAGAAGTGCATCCCAACAGTCTTAATGGGCCACTAGGCAACTGTGACCTCTGCCAACCTTGGGCTAGGCCATCAAGGGTGAAATCTCCTGCCAGGGACCCTGGCCAACTGATGCCAGATCTGAGGAGTTCAAGACGCAATACGTAAGTAAGTCAGGTGCCCAAATGGGGAAGGTCAGAAAGACATAGGTACTGGAAAGTTTCATCCAGCGGAGGAGGGAGGGAGGAATGGGGAGAGTGTTAGGAACATGCAGGGGGTTTCCTGCACGGGCCAGAGAGTGGCAAAGGGAAGTTGTTCTAAGGATAACTTAGAAAGACAGGATTTTAATTGCAGCAGGCAGAACTGTAGTTAGTCATGAAAAGGACCAGGGCCACTGCGATCCAGCCTCAAAGGAAGCAGAAGCAACCTCTCTCCATACTTTTCAGCCTCATCCAGGGAAAAGAGTTCAGATTTTGGGAACCCAGGTCAATCTTCTTCCGTCTGTGGAACTTTGGGCAAGTTTGTTCCTCTTACCAAGTCTCAGTTTTTGTTTTTTTCTTTTTAAAAATGAATATAATTCATATACCATAATATTCCCTTTAAATCATAAATTCAGTGGTTTTAAATATATTCACGAAGTTGTGCAAACATTACCACCATCTAATTCCAGAATATTTTCATCACTCCAAATAGAAACTTTGTATCCATTTGTTGCCACCTCCTAACCTTCCTCCTCCAACCCCTGACAACCACTAATCTATTTCTACCTCTATTGATTTGCCTATTCTCAATGGTTCATATAAATGCTGTCATATAATATGTGGCCTTTTGTGCCTGGCTTCTTTCACTTAGCATCATGTTTTCTAGGTTCTTCCATGTTGTAGCATGAATCAAGACTTCCTTTTTATTCTTTTTTTGGATGAATAATATTCCACTGTATGATTATACCACATTTTATTTATCCATTCATCACATGATGACCAATACTGCTATGAACATTCATTCAATTTTCTTAGTTATTTAAAAATTAGAGATTTTTCCATTAACTTCACAGGTTTGTTGTGAGTCTTAATGAGATCAGTGTGGTATGGTGTCTGGCACATAGTAGTTTCTCAGTAAAACGCTTATGTTTATCTCTGCTTTAGTTCCCCCCAAGACAAGAGGCAGGAAAGAGACAAATTTAGGTTCAAACAATATTTTTTGAAAGTTACAAAACCTTCCTTTATTGGCTCTCAAACTGAGTGAAGCTCTGATCTGTTGAGATGATCTGACGTTTACAGTGGACAGGTTCAAACCATTTTTGATGAAAGTTATGGCGTCTCCAGGGTAGAGGTGTAGAACCTGGATTGGGTGGATGGAAAGGAGCAAACTGGCAAGAGAGTAGAGCTCTCTCCTATTTCTGCTTAGTATTTACAAACCACCACCTTCTTCACATCTGGCCTTTCTCTGAGTGGGCCTTTGTCCACCTGCCTGGAGCCCAGACAAGGTTTTCCCCACAGAGATGTGCTTCCAACCAGCAGCCAGGTTTCCAGACTAACCTATGAAAGCAAGTCAAATCCAGCTCCTCTGTCTTGATCAGATCACTTAGCCTCTCTGAAATTTGCTTTCTTACACCTATAAAATGGGGATAATACTCATCTTGAAGAGTTAGTGATGTTCATAGTGTTCTCCATAACATTTATCGCCATCTGACTTAATGTATTTGTTGTTTATTGTCTAACCCCTTCTATGGAATGTAAACTCCATCGCCATCTGACTTAATGTAGTTGTTGTTTATTGTCTAACCCCTTCTATGGAATGTAAACTCCATGAGGGCAGGACCTTTGTTTTATTTACTGCTGTTTTCTCAATGCCAAGAACAATGCCTGATACATGGTAGGTATTCAATAAATATTTGTTGAATAACGAGGTTGTTCTTTCATTTTTCACCCAGGATGAATATATCCTGCAGTTTGGGGCTGTACTCCACAGCCGGGGCGCGGGGGGGCTGAGATGAGTAAACCAGGCCCTGCTTCCAAGGAGATCTCTTCAAGTGGAAATAACAGACATGACCAAAGCAAATAGACTGTAACAAGATTTGATGAGTAAAATGCAAATCTTCACATTCTAGCATCTTGCCTGATAGAGACAGTCCCTCCTTGAAGACCTGTTGAATCTGATATAGACCAGAAATAGATCCCAAGTGATCCAACCTGCACCCTTCCCAGAGCTTGGCTCCTTCGAGGGAGCAGACCTTTCCCTATTGAAGAGGGAAAAGAGAGGAAGCAGAAAAAGGGAGTTTCCTCCTTCTCTCCTGGGCTCTAAGCCAGTGAGCCACAGGCTGACTTTAAACTTTAAAAGGCCTCAATTTGTCCGGATGCACTTTCCTGATCTTGGTCCCACCAAACCCAGCCCCCACTGCCTTAAGTCCCCTACGCCTCCCTCCCAGGATTCCAAAAGTAAGAAAATAACTCCTTCCCCTCACCACAGTCCAAGGGTTTCTTGCTTGGAATAGCCAGCCCTGGGCTAGTTGCTAGGTGAAAGCAATCTGACTGAATTCATTCACACACTGTGGGAACTGCTTCTTGAGGCTTCTATTTAAAAGGAAAGGGGTATCTTGAGGCATGGGCACCCTGGCAGCAGGCCGCAAGCCAACTCCCTTGACTTGTGCTTGCCTCTCAGGAAGTCTTCCTTTCCTCAGTTTCTCTAAATAGGCTGAGTTGGGGTGGTTGTTGTTTTTCCAACAACATATAGCCAGTTGTTCATAGGCCTGTGTTTTAAAAAAGGACAAGCCTGAACTCACCTTCCCGCCTCAGCGGCCTGTGCTCCATACCTGGGGAGAAGACAGTCTTCTACTTTCTAACAAGCCAGGCCTGAAGTTTGGAGTAAATCCTCTTGTTGAAGGACAGGTGCTTCCCAGCGGAGCCCTTGGGGAGGTTCTCCAGTAGCTCACGGACACCCTTCCCCAGAGGCCTAGCAAGCTGGACCCCTTTGGCCCAATTCAAAGTGGGGAGACTCCTGCCAGGCTGGGAAGAGGTCTCTGTCCTCCACCTCCTCGGGTCCGTCTGTTTATACAGGGTCTCTGGGAATGGCCGCCTCCTGTTCTTTTTCTCCTTTTAAGTCTCTGAATCCCTTCTTCTCTCTCTTCCTGAACTACTTCTCCGAGCCTCGGTCTCCGTCCCTCTGTGTCTGGCTCCTGCATCAGTCTCGGCTCCCGGCCTCCCTCTCCCCCTCTCCGCCCCTCCCCCGCGCTGTCATTCACCCCGCTCCTCTCCACGCACAGCCAATGAAGAGACCCGGCCGAAACGGCTAGGCTCGCTCGCACCGGGCTTTTTCGCCCGGTGATTGATGTCCCAGAGTCAACATCTAGCAAGCAGCCGGAGAGGGGAAGGAGCAGCCGGAGAGGGGAAGAATACGGCGCTCCCTCTCCCTTCCCCTCCCCCCTACTTTAGCCCTCCGCGCACTTCGCCTCCAAGTCTCTGCGCAGCCAGGAGCCGCTGCCGCCTCCGCGCCCCTGCGCGCTGCCCTCCAAGCCAAACACAGCAAACGCCGCCGCCCAGGCCCCCCCGCGGGGCCGGGGCCGGGGGCCAGCATGGAGCACCTGGGCCCGCACCATCTCCACCCGGGCCATGCGGAGCCCATCAGCTTCGGCATCGACCAGATCCTCAACAGCCCGGACCAGGGCGGCTGCATGGGGCCCGCCTCGCGCCTCCAGGACGGAGAATACGGCCTTGGCTGTTTGGTTGGAGGCGCCTACGCTTACGGTGGAGGGGGCCCCGCAACCGGGGCGGGGGCCGGGGGCGCGGGGGCCTATGGTGCTGGCGGTCCGAGTGGCCCTGGTGGCCCGGCGAGCGGCGGCGGCGGCGCCTGCAGCATGGGCCCGCTGGCTGGCTCCTACAACGTGAACATGGCCTTGGCGGGCGGCCCTGGTCCCGGCGGCGGCGGCGGTGGCGGCGGTGGCGGCGGCGGCGGCGGGGGGGCCCTGAGCGCTGCGGGGGTGATTCGGGTGCCGGCGCATAGGCCGCTAGCTGGAGCGGTGGCCCACCCTCAGCCTCTGGCTACCGGCTTGCCCACCGTGCCGTCCGTGCCTGCGGTGCCGGGTGTCAACAACCTCACCGGCCTCACCTTCCCCTGGATGGAGAGTAACCGCAGATACACAAAGGACAGGTTCACAGGTGAGTCCGGCCCGCGCGCGCCCCGCCTGGCCGCGGCCCGGGCTCTGCGCTACCTTTTCCCCGCCCAGTGGCTCCCCGCAGCCCCCTCTGTGCACCAGGTTGTTCAGCTCCTCTCGGTGCTTCCCCCAAGTGCAGCCGCCCGCCACCTTTCCACGCTCGCGGAATCGCCATGCTCGAGAAGAGTTCTCCCAGTCTGGGCCCCTCTCCGTTTCTCCCGCAGGACCCCCACACTGAAAAGCGCTCCCCGATCTCCTCTCGGAGTCCCTGGGCTCAGTCAGGCGGAGGAAAGGGCGATGTAGCTTGGGGACTACCTTCCGCCGACATTTGGGGCTCGGTAATCTTGGAGAAAGGGGTGCGATGTGAACAAACTGTTTCTTCCGTCCCGGCCAACGTTCTCTGGCTGAGGCAGTGAGCCCCAGAATCAGACGCAAAGAAAGAACAGGTTCCCCACCTCTCGTTCCCTACACACACACACACGCGCGCGCGCGCGCGCGCACACACACACACACACACACACACCACTTCGCGCTCGGATCTCCAGTGCCCGTTGCGCTTGCCGGGCCCGGCAGAGGCCCCGAGCCTGAGTAAAGCAGCAGAGCTGACGGGCCCTTCTTTCCAGACTGCGGGCTTCGTCCAGGTCGGTGGCAGCGTGAGGCTGAGCCTCCTGCTTCATTTTCGTTTGGTCGTGGCATGGCGTCCTCCCCTCGGGGCCCAGCCCTGTTCCCTCCAGTGTGAATAATGCACCGGCCTGGCCGGCGATCGATCGGCGGCGGCCGAAGGACAACTCCTGGGACGATTACGCACTCGGCGGCGGCCGGCTGCCGCCCTCTCGGCTGCCAGCTCCGCGCCTTCCTCCGCTCGCCGCGGCTCCCTCCGCTCTCGCTTCCGCTCTCGGCACTCAGCTCTCGCTCACGCGCGGGCCCCTTTCTCCGGCCTCACTTCCCGCTGCCTCTTAGCATTTCTAGGATCCGAGGCTACGATCCTCGATCCTCCCTCCCAACCCCGCTCCCATGCCCGCTGAGAAGTAACCACGAGTTGAGCCAGGGCTCCTGGCCGGGACTTAGAGGAGGCAGGAGGTACGGGCCGCTGCGGATGACGACGTGGGACTCCCATGGGGCTAGGGATCTGGGCCCAATGGTGGAAAGGAAATAGGCAGTTTAGAGCTACACTCTCAGGTAGGCGACCCCAAGGAACACCAGGCCCCTTGCTCCTGTTCCGGCCTTGGAACCTTGGCTCACAGGCTAGGTCTGTGGCAAAGGTGGGGGTGGGGGGTGGGCAGCAGAGGCAATACAGCCATTCTGCTCTGGGCCTCCAGGAAGGACCCTGTACTCAAGGGACCCCAGTCCCCACCCCAAGTCCTCTCAGGCCTGGGGAAGCAGAGCCTGCTGCTCATTCCACTCCCCCAACGCAGGCCAGGCCAGCCTTGAAGGGCTCTAATGGAACCCTCAGCCTAGAACCCACTGGTCTTGGGTCTCTGGTGAAAGGACCTACCTAGGCGAGTCACAGCACACCCTAATCTTGCTTCAGGCCTGAAGAAGGTTCTGAGGAAGTGAATAACTGCCACTTGTGTTGCCCCGTGTCCTGTATGTGTCTCCTTGTGTCCCTGTCCCTGTGTGTCAGACTGGGTGTATGGATCTGTAATTTACCCCCCTGGTATGTGATGTGTCTGTGGATGTTGCTGCTACTGGTGGCTCAGTTCAGGACCCAGGGTCCACCCCCCCCACACCCGACCAAACACTGCCCCTTGCTGCTGGGCAGCTTCTCTGAGGCTGGAGGCCTGGGGCAGTGGGGGCCTGCGACCTTTAGCTCGCCTCAGACATGCCCCTCAAGGAGACTCGGGAGGCGACTGCGCCGGTTCTGGCTGGGCATGTGGGAGCCCCGGGCCAGAGAGGCCTCCGTGGCGGGGGCCTGGCGGGCGGGAGGGGGCCGTTGCCCGCCGCGGGCTTGGAGCTGAGGGCTGACGGGAGGATCACGGCCCCGCTCCTGGGGTCTAGCCGCTGTGCTCGCTGATCGCGGGGAGTCGGGCCTGGGACGCCTCCTGACGCTCTGCCGCTTGCCTCTGCCGTCTGTCTGTCTCCCGCTCCAGTGGCCCTCTCACCCTTCACTGTAACACGCCGTATAGGTCACCCCTATCAGAACCGGACGCCCCCCAAGAAGAAGAAGCCGCGCACGTCCTTCACGCGCCTGCAGATCTGCGAGCTGGAGAAGCGCTTCCACCGCCAGAAGTACCTGGCCTCGGCCGAGCGCGCCGCCCTGGCCAAGGCGCTCAAAATGACCGACGCGCAGGTCAAAACCTGGTTCCAGAACCGGCGGACGAAGTGGAGGTGAGCGCGCTGGGCGGGCAGCTCTCTGTCCCGGGGTCTCTCCTGGGGCGCTCACACCCCCTCCGCTCGCCGGCTTCTGATCGGTTCCCTGATAGGCTGGCTGGGAACGGGGAGCAACCGAGCCGAGGCTGGAGAGCCCGCGCTCTGTTTTACCGGAGGCTTCTTGGCTTTCTGGCGGACACACTCAGTGCTGGTGTAGACGCGGCTGGTCTCCACCGCTGCTTGGGGAAATGGCGGGGCTCAAGCACAGTCCATGCAATCCGTGCTTCGGGGATCAGAGTCCTGAGGGACTTTCTGTTTGTGCAAACTCGCGCTTACAGAGATGTCTCCTCCAAATGAGACTGGAGGCCGGATGGCCCGCGCCTTGTTTCTGCGCCCCAGCCGGGGCTCCTAGCGGAGCCGCCAGGCTCCAAACCACCGGCCACCCTGCTGACTCCCTCTCCCCAGGCACTCTGCGCGGCCCTCTCGCAGCCAGTCCCCCACTCTGGAAGAGGAAAATCAATCCGCACCGGCTGTAGCGGGGTTTTGGAGAGTCCCACTGAAAGGGGGATCAATTAGGAGCAGATGGGTGTGGTGAGAGAGAAGGAGACACACACATTTACCCTTCTCCCATCACACACCCACAACCACACTAAAATCCCCCCCCCACATACATTTCTCTCTCTCTCTCTCTCTCTGTCTCAACGAGTCCCACACTCTGGCAGACTTATTCACTGCAACTACCGGCACTTTCTCCAGCTGCACCCACTTGCACCACTGCACCCGAGGGCACATCTGGCCCGCATACGCCGTTCTCCACACGCGAGAAGTTTCTCTCTAGCTCAGGCCTTAGGGGGGGGCGAGCGCAGGGGAGTCTGGGCGAAGTCCGCAGCTCCGGGCCAGAGGGGCCCAGAGCTGGAGCAAGGAGCTGGGAGTTTCCTCTTTTTCTGAATGAGGGCGAGGAATCTGCCCGGGATTCCGCCATCGCGGCCACAAAGGAAGCCACTGCCCCACCACTCTGCCCCCTCATTCCTGTCTCTGGGGGAAGAAATGGGGGTACGGCTTCAGACCTCTGGAAGGCTAAAGAGGTAGCAAGGGCTAGCTGAATAGGGGTGCGGGCACTAGTGTTCCCAAGGCGCCACCAGGCTGCAGCCTAAGCGAGGGGAGGGAGCAACGCAAGCCCCGGGAAGAGAGGGGCATAGGGAAAGACAAGAGAGTGGCAGGCAGAGAGGGGGGAGGGGGCAAAGATAACTAGCCCACCCCAGGGAGAAAAGGAGAAAGCAGGCAGCCTGGAGAAGTCTTAGGATACTAAAGGAAAACAACGGATCATTAAACCTCCATTTTCGTTTCAAACAAATTCTCTTAATTCTGAGAGAACGAAGGGAGTGGGGGTGAGAGAAAATGGGAGATAAAGACACAACGCCTGAAAGGAAGAGAACCAGTCAGGCGGTTTGAAACGCAGGAGAGAAGGGTGAGGCGAGTCAGAAAGACGCATGGAGCGAAAGGCAAGAAGGGGCGGCGGGAAGGAGGCGGCGTCCGCCGCTGGGAGAGGCCCTTGCCGGCTTCGCCCGGCTTCATCGATCGCCTACAAATTGCTTCTGGAGGCCCCCGGGACTCCCATTAGGTCTGTCCACCTTAGAGACAGACGTTTGATCTCAGTTGACGGGGTGGAGGGAAGGCATTAAATGGAATAAGTGAGTCATCGCCTCCCTGGACCGCCTCGGAGGAAGGCGTCTGGTCCAGCGGGAGTCCCCGCAGGGCACAGGGCTCCGCGTAGGAGGCAAGAAGCCTGCGACAGGATCGCAGAGAACAGGGGGAGAAGAGAGGTCAGGCAAGGCAGCTCCTAATTCACCGGCCCTTGTCTCTGCCCTGGGCTGGTGGGGAGGGTGGGGCACCTCAGGCTTGGGATGGCGGAGCTGGGGAGAAGCAAGATGCCATCCTACCCATGGCTGCGCCATCCTAGGCTAGTGGGAGACGGAGAGCCCCAGATGCTTGGGCCTAGCGGATTTTCCCACAGCTCCCCGGGATACCCGTGCTCCATTTACTTTTGGGGTTTCCAGTCTTTGTCAGAGTCAGGACCCTCAAGATAAGGGTGTGTGTTAAAGGGGCCCAAGCTGGAGTTGGGAGCTGTGAAGGGAGCAGGGCTCCTCCAGGCTCTTTTCTGGGAGCACACCCGAAGCATGGGTAACGGCTTGTCCCCGGTGCAGGCGGCAGACCGCCGAGGAGCGTGAGGCGGAGAGGCAGCAGGCGAACCGCATCCTCCTGCAGCTGCAGCAAGAGGCCTTCCAGAAGAGTCTGGCACAGCCCTTGCCCGCCGATCCGCTGTGCGTGCACAACTCTTCGCTCTTCGCCCTGCAGAACCTGCAGCCGTGGTCCGATGACTCCACCAAGATCACCAGCGTCACGTCGGTGGCTTCGGCCTGCGAGTGAGCCTGCCTACCCCACCCCTCGAGAGCCCAGGTCCAGCCAAGGGGGCACTGAGGCTGAGAACCAGGACTCTCTCCCCCCTCCCGCTTCAGACTGCGTGCGGGAGGGGAACGCGGCGCCCCTCCGCACTGGCCCTCGAGCTCCTGCCGACGCTGTTTCCTCTTTGATGGGGGAAAAAAAAAGAGCGTGGGAGACAGGGACACGGACCTCCTTCCAGATGCCTAAGTGGTCCTGCACCCTCTGGAACTGTTCAGAGTCCTCTCAGTTTGCGTCTATTTTATTTTATTCTGATTTTTAACGTGGGACTGAGAGAGGCAGAGGAGGTGGGGGAAGAAGAGCTTCTGAGGTCCTCAGAGGACAACATGGGCTGTCATTTGAACTTGCTCTGGGGAAACCCCCTCTGTATTCCACTCCCCATCACACACAACACCCAAAGGCCCTGCCAGAGGTGATTTTACTGTCCCTCCTGGTGTCACCCAGAGTCAAACACAGAGGACCTACGGCAGAGTGTCATAGCCTTTACACCCCTGACTCTCACTATCAGGCATAAGCTAGGGGTGACCCAGCTTCATTGTGAACAGCATGGCACTTCTCACAAACACAAGGCTACGGCCACACTGTGACACACTATCCCACACACAACAGCACCACGGCCTGCCAGGCCCCCATCATACATTAACCGCACCCAGGTACGCACAGGCAGGTTTTCACACAAACTCAGCCTATTTCTCCAGATCCTGTTCATGGGGGAGCTTAAGTTATGCACTTATAAGGTGTTTTCTGTGTAACCATTTTATAAAGTGCTTGTGTAATTTATGTGGAAAAAAAAAATAAAACCCTCCGGATCCGGAGTCAGGGCTGCCTGCTCCTTGCTGAGCCCAGCAACTTGCAGCTATTTGGGTTTGGTGTGAAGTGGCACTGCTGGGGCCGCTGCTGGGGCAGCGCGGGTGTCTGCTCAGGAGGGACATCTGGGGGCCAGGACCCGCAGGCTCTGCGGAGAGGGGAGGAGAGATGGCAGACCTGAGGAAAGGAAGGAGTGCCAGGCTCTCCTAGGACGGCTAATGCTCAAGAGGATATACTGTCTCTGGGTGTGAGGGTCACGGGTGTGCCCTGTGTGTTCGTGACGGTGTGGACAATCGGATGATACTGATAATGAATGTAATCGTGTTCAAGCGTGTCAATGTGTTTGCAATTATTGTAAGTGCTTGTTTCTGCTTAAGTTGCAAATCGAAACTATCATTGTACGCACGAACTTGCAGTGGTGCGTGGTGTGTCTGTAACCATGTGTGAATGTGATTGTTTCTTTTTGGGTAATTGTGATCACCCATCCGTATTTGTGACTGTGTATGAATCATGTGCTTATGTGTGTGTGAGAGTACCTATTCGTTTCTCCTTGTGAATCTGTTTTTGTGTTAAATGTGTGAATGTTTGTAATTGTGAATCATCTGTAATTGTATGAATATAATTGTGTGTGATATGTAATCATGTGTGACATTTAATCATGTTTGACATGTAATCATACATGAGATGTGTATTTTACTGTATATACGTGTGTGTGACAGTATGCAATGGGGGTGTGAATTAGGGGGGAGTGTGGATCATTGTGGGTGACCCTTCCTGCAGGTGAGTGTGTGCAGTTGTGACTGAGCGGGTGTAATGGTGCAATGCTGGTGGGGGGGTCTAAGGTGGGCTATGCAGATACACTGGGGGGCGTACCAACATCTGCTAGGAGTTCCAGGGTTCTAGGCCCTTACCCAGCAAGCCACACAGGTTGGAGCACAGTGAGTCAGTAACTGGGCCAGGATCCTCTGTGGTGCTCTAAGTGGGACTTCCCACTTCCAGCACTAGTCTGGCCTAGGAGAGATCTGAATAGTAAGTGACTTCCCAGGGATCCGGACTATGCGGGCCAGGACAGCAGCCACGGTACACAACACTCCCTATAACATCTAGTCCCCCACGCACTAGACCAGTCTCAGGTGCGCAACACTGATTTGGGGCTGCTTTTCTGGAAGAAGCTAGGTGATGGAGGGTCTGGGGACATGCCATCCTGGGGGCATAAAGGGGGGGGGGGGGATAGAAAGCTCTTTCTTTGGGATGGGAGAGTGAAAGAACTTTGTGGCTAGAAGCTAGAAGCGAGTGGGTGTGGGTCTTGTTCAGGTATAGAGAGCTGTGTGTACCCAGAGGGTACCATCAGAGACACTGTCCTTCATCCCTGCCCAGGCTGCTATCCTGGACCTGATATACCAGAGGGGGACAAAGCACAACAACCTCCCACCCTAGGAGGCCCAAAGGGAAATTTGACGGAGGGGCGATGCTCGTCCATCTCTTATCCGTGGCCCCCTTGGGAGCCTGATCTCCTCAGGAGAAGAGGATTCTGGGTCCAAAGGACTACGGCTGGACCTCCTGCTCCCACCTCCCAGGCCCACTGGGTGACCAGGCAAGGCCCTAACAAACTGTGTTGGTCTTGGGGAGAAGGTTCTGGCCACCACAACTGGGTCTGCAGCTGGCCTCCAGCCTGCGCCAGCCGAAACACCGAGGACCTGGCCAGGAGAAATCCGGACATGGCCTCCCGGAACCAGCGAATTCGTTTCCGTCGGCCTGCGCAGGTCTGGCCGATCCCTCCTCTCCCACGGGGACTGGAGCCGCCTGGCCCGCACCTTCTCTGCGTGGCGCCCTATCTTCTTCATTTGTGTTTTAAAGACGCACCTTTAGTGCCTCCCGGCTGTAAGATTCCAGAGTCTCTCTGAACCTCAGCGGAGACTGGAGCCTTCCTCCCACCTCCCAATCCCCAGGACCCCTCCACAGGCTGCTGGCCCCGGAGGCTGCGCGGTAATTTCTGGCCGTAGACCGTCCAGATGAGGAGCAGAGGCAGGAATGCGGGCCACTGCCCGGCACAAACAGGGCCCCCAAACCCGCTTCAAAGTCCAGGCTTTGTCCCCAGCCCCTCGTCCCCTCTTACAAGACAAACTAAGCAAAATTAGGCATCATACACCCCTCCCCGAAACACCTCCTGCCTCCCGGATCTTCACAAACAGCTAGGGTCCACACTCATAACCACACGGGCAAATGCCCCCTCCGCGCCACTGCTCTCGGACCCCGTCCAGCTTGTCGGGGACTCGCGGGGAAGTGGGCATCCGGCCGGCGGGGATCCCCAGCCCGGGGGCCGCGCGCCCATCGCTGGAGGCCACCCGGCTCGGCGCTCCGGCTCCCGGGATCCGCGCTGGCTCTGGGCGCTCGGGGCCGCGGGAGGCCGGGGTCGCGCGCTCTCCCGGGGCCCCTCCCCCGCTCCCAGGCCCTCGGGCGAGGGGTCCCAGGGGTGCCAGATTCCCCCGGGTACCGGGGCTCTCGGCACCCAGGGGCCGCGCACGACTTCCCTGTCTCCGCGGGGAATTCGTTAGGACCGAATCTCGGCGAATCCCGGGTCGGCCGAGGGCCGCGGCAGCGGGGAAAGACCAGGACGGCGGCGGGGCCCGCCAGGCGGCAGCTGGACCCGCACACCCGGTCCCGAGTGGGGCGAAGGCTGGTGGGGAGGGGGCTGCGAGGGTCACAGTCAGGGCCAGCTGCCCGCAGCCGAAAGCTCACAACTCCCGGCCTGCCACCGCGCCTGCCGGAAATGGTCGGTCTCTGTTCAAAAAACAGAAAAGGAACTCAGTATCCGAATTGTGTGGAGAGATGCGGAAAGAGAAGAGGAATTCACGAACCTGTCGGAGCAGAAAGGTCCGCTTCCTTCCTTGGCTTGAGGGAGCCGACTGCACTGACCGAATTCGGCGGCGACTGAGCCCTGAGCTCCCGCTCAGACCAGGCGCAGACTAGCGTGGTGGCTGAGTCGGTGGCGGCCTGTGGGGCCCAGAAATCCAGGCAGGGCTGGGGTCCGAGAGGCCCGTGCTGTGCGGCCGGTGGCACACAGAGAATCTGGCTCAACCTGTTAACTAAAATAGGGCTTTGTTCCGATCTGCGCTGGGGGCTGTGTGGGCATGGCCTGAGCACTGCCTTGTGACGCCCCTACTGTGGTCTCAGGTGTGGGGTTTGCTCTGGGCCCAGGACTCTGGAGGGCATCCTGTTTATGGTGTGACTTGCAGGTGGGCAAGGTATGTTCCAGGTGTCTGAGGCTACTAAGAGGGACCTCCCTCCGGGTTGTGCAGAGCTGGAGCTGTTGGTATTCCTTCTGCTGCAAAGCTATGGGAAGGGGAGGGGGGCTGGGGCCCCGGGGCTGCCTTGAGGGCCCTTCAGGCCGGATGCGGGAGGAAACCCCATCTCTCTTGCTCTGCTCTCCCTGGTCTCCTCACACCCACCTTCACACACGACTCACTCCCACACAGCCCTCGGAGTCTTGCTCCCTAAGCAGCTCAGGGTTTGGAGCCCCACAGCCCGGCTGCTGCCCCGGCAACTAACAGGAGGTACTTCCGCTTTTCCCCCCGCATGGCTTGAATGGGCTGCCCAATGCCAGCCCGGGGAGGCCCCCGACACCACTCCCCTACACCCACCCCTGGACTCCTCATCCTGGGGAGCCCGATAGGAACAGACTGAGCAAGGGCTAGAGCCGGTTTGGATTTTCCAAGGAGCTCAGAGCAGAATAGGACGGTGTGTTCGATGGAGGGGGTAGGGTGGTGAGTGGAAGGAGCAGTGGGGTACCCACGTTGTGTTGGGGGTGCCTACAAACTCACATCTCCTCAGTCACAGCTTGCATCGCTGTGTGCAACCTCACGTGCACCCTCCCAGTGTGCAACCCCTGGGATGTGCGATGTTGCACAAGGGGAGGGAGCCGCAGGTGTGCGGGTGCTAGGCACACACACGCACACACACAGCCTCCACTGCGGGCATTCTCGGTTCCCTCAAACTCACACCCGCCCAGGCCCCACGAAGCTCCTACAGGCGGATACCCCGCAGCCATTCCGCCAGGGGCACTCCCCTTCCCCTTCCCCGCCCCTCCTCCCCCTGCCCGGAGCGAGGAGGCCTAACTCGCCTTCCGGCGGCGCGGGAATGGGGATTTCCTAGGCCCGTGCTTCTGTTGCCAGCCCTGCGGCTCCTGTG